AATATAAATATAAATATAAATAATAAAATCTTCTCTATCTAATATCTTTAACAAATTTTGATTTTTTTTTTTTTGTGTTGATATGTTCTGATGGTTTAAATTTATTACAATTAAATTGTGTTGTCTAATTAAATTTATTTGTTGATTTATTTTTATTTATAATTTGTTTCTGTTTATATTTATGGTAGATTGTAATACATGAACAGAGGAGATTTACTTGTATTAATTTATGAAATTTTCTAGATTGAACTTGAAAGTTGAAGTGTGGCTTTAATTGTTAGAAAATTAAGATTTTTTTTTAATATATTGTTTATAATGCTTATAATTATAATTTTTGATTCTTTATATTTAATTGGTTGCAGATTTGGATTATTTTATTCTATTCTAATATTCAAAATTCAAAATATCAAGATGGAGATTGATCATTTGGATGGAATTAACCAAGCTGTAAGTTTTAGTTTATTGAATTTGATTTTTTTTATCAACTAATGAATTTGGTTAATATTTTTTATTTTTTTTTTTGAATTAATTATGTAAATTTTGATTCTTTTGGTACAGGACATGAGTAATGTGGCTAATATTGATGTAACAATAGCAAATAATGCTATTGAGTTGCTGAACAATGATGGTGAGGGTGGGAATTTTGGAAAGAAAAGAAAGGGTGTACAAAAAAGATCAAAGGTATGGCTACACTTCATTGCATTTGATGATCCAGTTACTAGTCAGCAGAAAGCAAGATGTAATTATTGTGGAAAGGTGTTGTGTGCTGAACCTAGGAGAAATGGTACTTCTACCATGAATGGTCATATTGAATGTTGCTTGAAAAATCCTAGTAATTTGAAAAATAATACACTATTGAAGTATGTTAGTAAAATAGATGGAAGTAAGACGGTGATTGATTTAGGAACTTGGAAGTTTGATGAAGGTGCAGTGAAGAGAGCATTAGCTGAAATGTTAATTATTGATGAGGACTCCTTTAGCTTAGTTGAAAAATTAGGCTTTAAGAGGTTTTGTGAAGTAGCATTGCCACCAACTTTTAAAATTCCATCTAGGAGAACCATCACTAGACAATATTATGACATCTATGTAGAACATAGAATTGCCTTGAAAAATTATTTCAAAGAATCAAATTTGAGAGTTTCATTAACCAACGACACTTGGACTAGCTTACAAAGAATTACTTATATGAGCTTGACTGCTCATTTCATTGATGCTAAGTGGAAGTTACATAAGAAAATACTGTGTTTCTGTCCTGTTGATAGCCATAAAGGAGATGAGTTGGGAGATCTTCTTGTTAGATGTTTGAAGGATTGGGGGTTAAAGAAAATTTATGCATTAACTGCTGATAATGCATCAGCAAATGATGGACTTGTGAGGGTTTTAAAAGATGCAGTAAATAAATAGGGAACTGCTATTCTTGGTGGGAAAGACAGTCACATGAGATGTGCAGCCCACATCATAAACTTGGTTGTTGGTGAGGGTACTAAAGAGAAAGAAATGAATAAATCTGTGACTACAATTAGGGCTGCAGTTAAATATATTAGGCAAAGTCCTATGAGATTAAAGAGATTTAAGGAGGCTTGTGAGTGGGCAGAGATTGAATCTAAAAAGTTATTGTGTTTGGATGTCCCAACAAGGTGGAATTCACTTTATTTAATGCTGGACACTACTGAGAGATTTGAGGAAGCTTTTGAGAGGTTAGTCTTATTTTATTTTATTTATATTTTTTGTTTTTAATAGTTTTTAGTTAAAAATCTTAATTATTTATTTAATGGTTGCATTTTTTTTTTTAAGATATGCAAGACAAGACCCACACATGAAGAATGAGTTGAATGATGGTCCTAATGCTCCTGGATTTCCTTCTTGCATAGATTGGGAAAATGTAAGAAGATTAATCAAATTTCTACATCAT